GAAGTGATAGATAGTAGATTCGAGGATCCCTGACCGATAAGCTGTTACCCTGATGTAGTGGTCGAGTTCGCATATCACAATGATCCAACAGGCTGAACTAGCTTGAACCAACATTCCTGCAGGTCCTACTACGTCATCCAGAAAAGCTATTTGGATAGCGATTAAACCAAAAGTAATTACCACCAGTGTAAGTTATTAACACCATGACGAGAGTGGGTTTGTGGGCGAATTCGTATTGCTGATGAATAGGAATGTAACAGCAGTATGTTGTTTCCTTCAGATAATCGGCATGTCAACTATGCTGTCTATCGGCTCTAAGGAAGGGGAAGTTAGAATAGGAAGACATGTAAAAATGTATATCCCAAATTACCTTAGGGGGTATGATCTTATTATGCACAGAACCACAAAAACCAATTCAAACGAGTCGTGTGTCACCGGCCTCGAGAAGTAGTCCCCTAGACTCTGTGGTCACGCAACACTAATGCCCTTTCTAATTCAGGTGTCCTAATAAAAACCAACCTCTATCGTTTCGGAAGCCTGGAGGTCACCATGGCCCGAACACCTCCAAAAGCACACAAAGATCTTGTAAAGATAAGCCAAAGGGTTTGAGGGTCAGTGAGAATACTAACACTCACTTCTAGATGATGGGTTCTAAATGGGACGAAACGTGCATCCTGGATCCTACTGCTAGCTATCAACGAAACGAGTAACTTTGAGTAATTAGACTGTAAAATCAACTACGAGAAAGACAAAGTAATCAACATTTATTTCATCCTAAGCTTAAACTAATCTTTAGTAAATTCTCTTTTCATCCCTTGAGTTCAGAGTGGAAGTCTCAGATACACGGTGTTGTTTTTACGGTGTGGAGTTTCTAGCCACACATGCATAACTTTTCATTTTTCCCAAATTTAATACCGGTTAGGTGAGGTATAGGAATGCATCGGTCCGGGAATCGAACCCACTAGATAATTGTGCAGACGAACTCATAACACCAAACTAGATTCCATCTGTCTGTTTCCGACATAGAACTTTGCACAAATGTGCAGCAGTTTGAGTCGTCACACTCCATGTAGCACACAAAGCAAGAGAAGAGAGGGCAAAAACAGATTCAAGACAGAAATTAATAAACAGACATATGAGGCAAAAAGAATAGTAATATCGAAGAACAATATAGTTTTATTGGGTATTATAAGCCACAAGGAGTGGATGCATCCATGCCACTTATTGAGAACGATCACTTTGAGCCGAATCACCAATTTTCTGCAGCCGTCATTGGTTCTTGCCATCCCTACGACCCCGACCAAGAAGTCTACACCTTCCTACATGGCCAGCTCAAACTAACTGTTGTGGATTTCATTGACTGACTCAATGTTTTGGTTTGACCACCTCTAACTCTTTTCCAACCTTATTTTATATCAGCTAACATCGGCCATCGAGGAAGGCGATGACTAGGCATGCATGCGTAACACATGTTCTAACCATATCACTCAATTGATGGAGCTTCACAACCTTGTCCATTGATTTCCCCTCCTTACCTACAACTCAAAGTCTAACCTCAATATTCTTCACCCTAATATATCACCTAACAAGCACGAAAGAACGCAGGCACCTGGGGTCAAAGATAGCTAGCTAGGCTTTTCATGTCTTCCACTCTAAATGGCCAGCACTCACAGCCATAAAAGAGGACGGAGAAGACTTCTGAGCAGTACAAACACTCTTTGGTCGATAGCCAACCGGATATCACGTCTATGCCAGAGACGGTGTAAGTTGGCATGTGCGACACTAGCCCTCTGTATCTATGCAGAGATTTCGTCAAAGATCAACCCATTGGCGTTTGTTGGTGCAAATCCCCAAGTAAATGAAGTAGTGAACACGCTCTGCCACTTCATTCCCTATTTCTAAGGTAGGAATGAGTCAATGTAGTCCACTCCAATTCTGTAGCGTAATCTTACATTTGGCGTGAGCGAATCGGATGCTAAACATTCGAAGATTCCAGCTCAAGGTGTTCAAAAGAATCTGCATTCTGTCAGCGTCTTCACCCAAGACTTTATCATCTGCATATTCTAAGTCAACCAGATTATTCTCTGGTGGTAATAAGTCAATCCCTGAGTCTATGAAGTCACTTAGAGTTGAGGCCATTAGAACATCTATGATGAAATTGAATAGAAACAGGGATAGTGGGCATCCCTGAAGGACAGTACTAGTTATCACCACTTCAGATGACAACTCACCGTAAGCCCTCACCTGGCTGCATGAGTTCGAGTAGAGTGAATTCCTTGATCAGTGCAGAGTATTTCTTCGGCATTCGCTTCACAGGCAAATATCGCCATAGTACCTCTCGGTCAACAAATATAACGATTGTTGGACGCCAACGGTAAGTATGCCTAGGTTCCAGAATCTGTCGAAGGGTGGAGATATGATCAATACATCCTCTTCCTGGTCTAAAGCCTGCCTGTCTGGTCCTCTCGTGTTTGTTCCTCCTGTGGCCTACTTAGTCTATATTATTATTGAGCCTAGAACTTTAGAAACCATATTAGTCAAGCTAATCCTCCTGTGATTATCCAAAGAAGACTTATCTCCCTCCTTGTATATCGGGATAATCAATGACTTATACCAATCCGACGGGACTTCCTCTGATTCCCAAACACTGCCTAGTACCTTGGTTAACGTGGACAGATTTCGTCACCTACTGATATCAGTTACCGAGAATCAATGCGAACCACCAGGGAGTGTTGGACAGCTGCTTCGTCCTCAGTATTTGCAACACGTCTTCAAGGTGCACTCATGACGACCCTCTCCGTCGCAGAGATTGAACCAAAAACCTTCAGAATGACTATTATTCAGCCAGGTGCTAGCTGGGTTGGAATTCAATGACCCGCGTAAACGCAAAAACAATCTCAACCAAAATATATATAGTGTATGTATGTATGTATGTGCACATGCATAATAAATTTCTGCAACAAAAGAAGTGATACGAATCACTGTAAAACAGAAAGAAGAAAAAAACTACAACTTTATACAAAAATGAAATTGAAATCGATAAATGAGCAGTGAGACACACAGACACACACAGAGATAGAGGTGAATAACACCAAAAATAAAACCAAGAAGCAAAACAGTGTGTTCATATTTTCTACAGGCAGTAAAAAAAAAAAGAAAACGTAACGAAACGAAAGTGAAAATAACTCCAGTGTGCCACAGAAATGAAAAAAAAGAAAACAATTTCAAAACAATCCCTATTTATTAATTCATTCAGCATAAGAACAGATGTCTACAGAACACAACAAATGCATTTGAAGGAAATTAACTTTTAAAAAGAAAACACACCTAAGAACTCTTACACTAAAACACAGATACTTAATGCGTGTTTTTTTTAAAAAATTATATCTGAGCTACTAAAACCAAATCAAACGGAAAGTGAAAGATAGAGAGAGAGAGAGAGGCAGAAGGGAGAAGTTGGAGGAGGGGAAAAGTAAGTAAAGCAAACCAACCCATAGTCAACTAATCACAAATAAAAGAGTGAATAGACTCGTTACTCCTTTTTTTTCAGAAGTCTTCATTGATAAAGTATTACAACACTCTTACGTAACAAGAATTATAGATATAGATGAAACGCAAACAAGAAAAAGCAGCAACCGAAAGACATTCATTGTGGAAACAAAACAAAATGGACAAGGGTATACGGGTATCTGCGTCTGAGTGTAGAGAATAATATACTGGTAAATACCACAGCTTATATGTATGTATGTATGTATGTATGTATGTATGTATGTACGTATGTATGTATGTATGTATGTATGTATGTATGTATGTATGTATGTATGTATGTATGTATGTATGTATGTATGTATGTATGTATGTATGTATGTATGTATGTATGTATGTATGTATGTATGTATGTATGTATGTATGTATGTATGTATGTATGTATGTATGTATGTATGTATGTATGTATGTATGTATGTATGTATGTATGTATGTATGTATGTATGTATGTATGTATGTATGTATGTATGTATGTATGTATGTATGTATGTATGTATGTATGTATGTATGTATGTATGTATGTATGTATGTATGTATGTATGTATGTATGTATGTATGTATGTATGTATGTATGTATGTATGTATGTATGTATGTATGTATGTATGTATGTATGTATGTATGTATGTATGTATGTATGTATGTATGTATGTATGTATGTATGTATGTATGTATGTATGTATGTATATACGAAAGACATAACAAAACTCAACTGTATATAGGAGTGTTGCAGTAGTGTACACAGTAAATGACAGACAGGGAGGGAGAGAGAGAGAGTTCAACCCTGCCTGTTACGGTAGCGCATTCCCTTCCATGAAGGATTCCAGAAGTATTCTACTGACACATCAGTAATTGCTTAACGACTACACACACACACATACACGCACGCACACACACACAGAAAGACAAGAAGTACATTCTTTGGACAAAAAAACAAAACAAATAAAACTGGGAATAAGACTATAAAAAACTTAAAGTGACAGACAAATTAAATAATCGATCGACCAACTATCTCTCTCTCTCTCTACCTATCTATAAACACCTATACGACGTACACAGACAACACCGAAAGAACTAATGAATTCAACAGAAGAGGGAAAAGCTGTGCACAGTTAACACACTGTAGTACATGAGGTATACATATATAGATATAGTATTGCACAGAATTGAGAAAAAAGAAAATTCTGGATACCACTGATGGTGCTGCTTAGTCAATAAACCAATGCAACTGAAGAGTCATTCACACACACATACACGCACACAGACATAAAGACAAATGTTTATCACTGAAAATCAGCTTTATAAAACACAGAGTCAACTGATTTAAATTTACTCTTTGGTAAGGTAATTACTGAGAAAAAGAGAAAATAATAATAATAATGAAATGTATTCACTACTGTGGTCTATGGCTATTTACAAGTTCATTTCGATTCGATTCGACTCGATTCAATTCACTTCAGTTGTTTATCGATGACGATTGATCTAACGGTAGGACACATATACCGACCCATCCTTCATGTGCAATTAACGATGGTGCAAAAGACCATTGCCAATCAGCGAAAGGATTCGAAGAGGAAGTAGTAGTACCACCGGCAGTAGCAGTAGTGACAGCAGAAGTGGATGGGATAGATAGTTTAGGCTTATTTGTCTTATATTTTGATTTTTCCGATATGATATTCGCCTAAATTAAGGAAAGATGTGAACAAATAAATCATTAGAAGATTGAAATTGAGGAAATCGATATTATATTACTATTAAAAAGAATGCAAGCCTCACGCATTAAGAGTATTAACAGATGCACTATGCAAAAAATAATAAAACAACAATATATGAGAAAAATAGGGATAGAATGAATAAGGGAGCTCGTCAAAAAAGTAAGCAAGCAAATTTGTTAAGATCATTTATCATCATTCATTAATTCAATTGAATTTGAGATTTTCTCATCGATTGATTGGACCGAAGTGCTCGGTCTCAGGTAGACATGTTGGCTTCTTGTGCAGATGCTTCGACGATATCTGGGCATTTAATTAGAACTTAATTTGTGGATGGTGACTAGCAGCGGAATCCAGCAGACAAGTCTCAAATAGGACGAAATGCGGATCCTGGATTCCACTGCTAGTCACCATCCACAAATTAAATTCATTACTTCATCTTACTTTTAGAAATAATAATAATAATAATTTGCTTTATTCCAAAACAGTACTTGTGATACAGAATGGAATTCTCAGCATTTTACTACAGTATTCCATCCAGTTAGTACACTAACAATACATAAAATTCTACATAGATTAAGGTAATTAATCTCAGTTCATTATGATAACAACATATTGCCATGCCGGTAGCAAAGCCAAAAATTGAACAGTGTTTGGAGGTGTTAGAAAACTAGATACTAGCATATTTACTGGCGCAAGCGGTAACAAAAGGTCGAGATATACAGAGGCTGAAAGAACAAAGAAGAATGCTTTAAGTAGAGTTTGTAAGGAAGAAAGAAACGAAACAGTGCATAACAGAAAAAGAATGAAAACGTTGTACCTATAAATGATATGAGTTGGAAAGACGAGATCCAGTTGTTCTACTGACTATTTAATAAGTTAAAGGTTTCACGCCTAATGCTTTCTTTATCGCACACAACACGAGGTGAGTAGAGTATGGTTGAGGCTCTGTACTTGCTAGTGAGAGCATATAGTTTCCTATAAAGGTTTCTGGTCTGGTCTGGCCCGAAGAGATACAAGGGGAGAGTTGTGAATGAAGAGGGTGGTGTGAGTTAGACAGAATGGATCTGGCCAATTTTTCACATGAGTTCAAGTGCCTGTCGACCAGAATACTAACAAGCTAGTTAAGTGGCACGTTGCTTACCCTGATGACGATCTTTAACATCCTGCCTAATAATGTATAGTCTTTCTTCAGTAGCCCTGGAAAAACTAAGGGGGACCAATAGAGAATAATAGGCAGGATGCAAGGGTTAACAAATCGTAGGAGTAAGGGTTGGATTATACCAGAATGTCTTAACTTCTTGATGTAGAAGGTAAGACGGAATATTTTCTTAGAAATCATCAAGATATGAGACGACCAGGAAAGATCAGCAGATAGAATGACGCCAAGATATTTAATTTCCGACTTGGTCTCTGTTTCAGTGTCATCCATGTCAGATTTATGCCTAGAGGTGAGATTGACTGTTTGACATTTAGAGGGGTTTAAGGTTAGACCGTTTTCCTTGGACCATTGGCTGATTTCTGATAAGAAGCCATTTAGTTTAGAGCAGTCACTTTGACATTTGACAGGCAAAGATAAAGTCAGGTCATCAGCATATTTAACAAAATTAATGTCATTTGAAGATGGTAAGTCATGTAGAAAGAAAGAAAAGAGAAGTGGGGAGAGTACAGCACCTTGGGGGACACCAGCTTCAGTGAGCACGGCAGAGGAGGATTTGCCTTTATATACGGTATACTGCATTCTGTTTGAGTAGTAGGAATGAAACCAGTTAGTGACCCAGGACTCAGTTCGTGTCATCGAGAGCTTATTTAGCAAGAGACATCCAGGTACACAGACGAAAGCAGAAGTGAAGTCGAGAAACGTGCAGCGGACGTATTTGGTACCTTTATCTAATGATGAGACGATAGAATAGGAAGAAAGGAGGAAATTTAGGCGTGTTCACGCCTGATTGCGATTCTTGGCCACATGTGATAGCGTCTCGAGCCACTGATTTGAATCAACTCCTGAATTCTACCCAGGGAGCGGTGATGTACCGACGGATCCTAACCTAACACAGAAATCCTTTCTCCAACGGTGTCACCCACATCATTGGCTGACTGCCTCAGTACATTTTCATACCACATGTCCAAGCTACCAAAGCCGGTGTTTCAGGATGACAATACTCAATGAAGGGTGATCTTTAACGTGTCCAAACACAAGCTGCCAGACCTCGAAATTATTTACACGATTATGCCATCAGAAGTAGGTAATTCAACGCAGGGAGAGGTGACCAAATACGCAGAGTCACCGTATATCTTCAGCTCGGCGAGACCATGTTTTATAGGCGTAGATACAATACACAGGGAGTGCTAATATGTTTATTTTTTTATTTTTATTTTTTTTTTATTTTTTATTTTTTATTTTTTTTTTTTGATTTACAGCTTGATTCCACACTGTATTTTCGGTACAAGTATGGAATTTTCAGCATGGATATCGGTAGCCCAAATTTTGCAGGCCGACCATAGATATCAGGTGTTGTTTTGCTTATGATTTTGTGAAGTTTTCAATATTAGGATGAAACATGTGTTCAGTAGAGCCCTCTAGTTTTTTTACGAGTTACCGAATTTACCCAGTTCACAGCAAGATACTGTAAAGAGGGAAAGACCGATGATGCTCGAGGGAATGTGTTTTAGGACAAACTCATTGCAGGTAGAACACAATATAGTGTTGTAGAGGATCAAAGAAGTTCATCAACTGAACTGAACCTCAGCAGTTTCACCGTCAACAATCAACTTGTTTTTGCGTCCGGATTGAAACACACGGTGGTGAATATAATTTTCGAGGGACAACAGTTTGGCAGCTTCGTTGTACAATCTCTGCAAATCATCGTCAATACATACAACTTTCAGCAGCCGCGAGTGTAATATTCTCTTTTCGTTATTTTGGGTGGTTTTGAGAGCAGTCTGGCCACCAGGTTAGGTAGGCCAGACCAAAGTCAGAGGGCAGTGCTGCTAGAGCTCAAGTCTAGCAGAAGTGGCTGCCACACGTCAATCTTGAACGTTATATCTAGTCGAAACCAAGTGGAAACGAGTTCAAAATCATTCAAGCAGCCTAACCAACTGCTGATCTACAATTTATTTCGATGAATAGTGAGGTAAACATGGAGACATGGAATATCCACACGATGTTCGAAGATGAGGAAGCTGTCTAGACTGAAAGGAGAGTGAGGCGATATGGCTTGGAAGAGATAGAAACTGTGAAAGTGGGTGGAATGTACGTAAACTATGAAAATCGTCAACTGGAGAGTCAGCAATCTACTGCGGTCACCCAGACGACATCTACTAGCACACTGAGAGAGTAACAGTTGTAATGTCACCAACAGCAACCAAAGTTCTGATGCGATGTGGAACAATCTCCTGTAGGATTATCGCAGCAAGATTCAACTCAAAAAGAAGGAAGGTTACAATTATCTAATGCTACGCACATTACTACAAATAACTGGGAACTCGGACATGGTCCGAGGTTCGAGTCCACGCCGACGCACACCTGATATCTATGGTTGGCCTGCGAATTTTGGGCTACCGATATCCACGCTGAAAATTCCATACTTGTACCAAAAATACGGAATGGAGTCAAGCTGTAATCAAAAATAATAAAATTATTAATTTTATTCCACTGGGTTCCGCGTGAAACATAGGGCTTCAGCAAAACACCACCACTTTGTTCTATTCTCTGCTGTCATCTTCAGTTGGGTCTACGGCCGACAATAATCTCTCATCTCCTCCTCGGACAATCTCCCCATGTCACCCTCGCAGTGACGACATACTCGTCTCTTCCCATTGGATTCCATTCGAGCACTGGCCTGCATTGCACGCGATGTCATTTGACGGCCTCCTCAACGTATGCCTGATCCGTCTCCATTTTCTCCTTTTGTAAAGGAGGAAAGAACGATGACGCTGGAGGGAATATGTATGAGGATAAACTTGTAACAACAGAAGACAAGGGCCGGTAAATGATTGTTTTATTACGGGAATCAGCACGTATTTATATATATTTCATGTACAGTATTATAGCTTATTCAAGTAGACAAACGCAGTCTTCTGATTGGTTGTTTTCGGGTTTCTCGGAAAGTGAGGCCATCTATCTGCGAATCATATCTGCCCATGTTAAGTCTGCTGTGATTGGTTGTTGAATCAGCCTTGTTCATATTTTCTCACGGCCAATATTAGTGACCTAGACAGTGACGTATGTTAATGTCTACCAATTGGCTAGCAGCCTGCTCTCACCACAAACTTACTGTATGTACACAAATTTGGTATACTATATCTTCAGTGCTTATTTGAACATCATTTGTAAATTGGTTGAATATCACCAGTTCTGTTCTTCGATTGCTTTTGTCCAAAACATTGTTACTTTTTTGAATTTGCTTACTGATGTACTACTTATATCTGATTATAAGTAGCACCTACCACGATACAACTATTAATATGCACCACAATACAACTTCTTTATTTCTTAGAGTTAAGAATTGAACATAGGGACTCAACTTTGGAATTTTCAGAAGTGGAAAAGTTTTTTTTACCAGGTTGAGCTTCTGGCTTTACTAGACGAGGTTTAGGTGACCATTCTACCAATGAACGCACCCAGAATGTAACTTCAACAAGTTTAAAATCACATGAATATATTTTCATATACTAAGATATAATTGGTACACACTATGTAGAAGTTTGCTTGAACTGAATTGCTCCGGACAGATATTTCATGTATCACAATGTAAGACAACTAACGTGTGAAGGCTTATCATATTACCCCGCTACAACTGTACAGTGCACAAAGGAGTTTATAGAGATTAATAAGAATAAAGCATTTAAATCAATTTTTATATTTCTCCTACAACTTCGAAGTTTTTGTAGTCGTTGAATCGGTTTTCCGAGGTTGGGATTACTAGCCCAACGCCCAACCCCGTCTTTTTAGGCCTTAGGAGTGGATAGTAACCTAGGTGACATTCTCAACTATAGACAACAGGGATGCTGGGGTGAAAGGAGGGAATGAAAAGGCAGAAAAGACCTTCGATACGTCCTAAATCAGCATGAAAATCTGCTGCAATCAGCATCATGAGAAACACCATCATTATCAATAATGTACAGTGTATGCTCTTCAATATGGTTCAAAGACTTATAGCGTCCCCAAAAGCATTTCCAGCAGGTTTCAGACTTCAATGCCTTCGATCGATATTGAAGATCAGATGGTTGAATAGAAAAGACAAGCAACAACGAACTTTGGCAACGAACTAAGCAGAAACTTATTGGCCATCAAATATGCCGACGCAAAATGGAGTTGGAATAGACACACGCTGAGAAGACCATTTAATGACATCATGCCCCAGGTAAACCCTCGAACGGAACCCGAATGAGCAACGATGAGTTGGGTGTGGGTCCGAAGGTCACGTGGACACCGAGTTAGGAAGAGATGATAAGTAACGGTCTATCGTGGAGCCAGCTAAAGACGACTGATTCCACAGATTCTAGATGCCAAGTTCTATGTTGAATCCAGACAGACAGACAGATTCTAGAACATAGGCATACTTACCGCTGCCTCCAAAGCCTCAGGATGGTCGGGGGTGGGTGCCTTGCGCTGCGGGCTGGCCACCCCTACGTACACCTCTTGAAATGCTCCCATATGACCGGGCGTCTTACACAGCCTCTCCTGAGGAAGTCCTACTCACTGCCTTCACGTGGCGGAGGTGTTTTTCACCGAAGTGAGAGGGCAAAAGCGGATGCCCGGCGCTCTTCACCGGGTTGACTGCCCATTGGATGACAGTCTAGGGGAGATGGCTAAACCCTGATTCCAAACCTCCAACGACTGGCGTATGAAGCTCGCCGGTAGACGTATGGACAAAGGGTTTATTGGATGCCCTGGATGTCTGGCCCCGTACAAAAAGGCGTATGAACCGGACTCTGGTCACCGGCTGCCAATGGATAGTGGACTCCCTACTCCACTCCTACTGCCTTGTAGGTCACACTTGGTTGTGTAAAGGCTAGAGCTGTACTCTCAAACAAAAAGCCGAGCGATGCTGGGGACATCACTCATACCTAATTCCCATGAAACTTCATGAACTCTCTACAACATCAACCAAATTCCAGTACTGGTCCAACAACGTCGCCTTCGGTGGTTTGGCCATGTTCTGCGCCGACCAGATGACGATCTGGTCAAATCAGTTCTAAATCCCTCGCCATTTCCATCTTGGCGATATCGCAAGGGTGGACAGCTGAAAACATGGCTTGGTACAGTCAAGGCTGATATGGAGTGCCTGGGGCTACAAACCGTCTACGGACTCCGTCTATGGAACAAGAATTCGATAACCCTGTCGCAAAACCTTGCATCAGATCGCCGAGCCTGGGCAGCGATGATTCGAGATGTTCATGAAGCTGGCTCATCCTCCCGTAGGAGATAGCCGAAGTAAAGTAAGTGAGTTGCCGTTGGCGTCCAACGATCTTTATATTTCTTGACCAAGAGGCACTATGGTGATATTTGCCTGTGAATGCCGAAGAAATACTCTGCACTGATCAAGGAACTCTACTCGAACTCACGAAGCCAGGTGAGGGCTTACGGTGAGTTGTCATCTGAAGTGGTGATAACTAGTACTGTCCTTCAGGGATGCCCACTATCCCTGTTTCTATTCAATTTCATCGTAGATGTTCTAATGGCCTCAACCCTAAGTGACTTCGTAGACTCAGGGATTGACTTATTACCACCAAGGAATAATCTCGTTGACTTAGAATATGCAGATGATAAAGTCCTGGGTGAAGACGCTGACAAAATGCAGATTCTTCTGAACACTTTGAGCTGGAATCTTCGAATGTTTGGCATGCGATTCTCTGCAGCCAAATGTAAGATGACGCTACAGAACTGGAGTGGACTATATTGACTCATTCCCAGCTTAGAAATAGAGCGTGTTGACTACCGTGTGAAGTGGTATAATAAGGTGAGCAATATTGAGGTTGGGTGTCGGTCGAGGAAATCAATAGACGAGGCTGTGGAGTTACATCGACTGAGATAGTTAGGATATGAGTTATTTATGCGTAGTCATCGCCTTCCTCGACGAGCAGTGTTAGCTAACATAGGGTCAGACTGCAAAAGAGTTAGTGGCGATCAAACCAAAACATAGCACCAGTCGATGAAATCTACAACAGTTAGTTTCAGCCAGCCACTTAGGAAGGTGTAGATTGCTTGACTGGTTGGGGTCATCGGGACGGTAAAATCCAATGGTTGGAAACAATAGGTGATGGGGCTCGAAATCGTTCTCAATAGCTAACGCAGATGCATCCACTTCTTGTGACTTATGATTTCCAATGAAACTATATTGTTCTTCGTTATTACTATTCCTTTGTCTCACTCCTCTGTTTACTGTCTCTATTATGCATTTCTTCTGCTTTCTTCTCTTGCTTTGTGTAGTACATGGAGGGAGTGTGGCGACTTGAACTGCCGCACATCGGTGCAAAGTTCTATGTCGAAAACAGACAGACAGACAGAAAGAGGACTGCAGAGAACACGACGAAATGGAGATGTGATATTGAAGTCATATAATAATTACGGTAATAACAGTAATAATATTAATAGGAATAGATCCTTACCTGATATCTTCCATCCCCAAGTGTCGAGCTACTATCAGCTGAATTAAATGAAGAAACCGACTCGATATCAGAATTATTAGAATATGATAAATTATCAGCAGCGCTAGAAAGAAATTTAGCTATTTCTGGAGTAATATGATTATTGGTACCGCTACGAATGCGGGTGCACTCACTGTTGTAGTTATCGAAACCAGTCGTTGTAGAAGTCCCAGGTTTATACAACATATCAGATAATGTATCATGCTTTGAAAGGGAGTATTCACTTGGTAATTCATAGTCATTTTGATGCGTGGGCGGTTTAAAACATTCAACTGTGCGTAGTTGTTTTGTTCCATCGTATCCACCTACACAATAAATATGAACGTCATCATAATAAAAACATAGAAAGAGGATTTCATAACTTTCAAGGTTCAATATAGCCAACTTATGAATCATTACGCTGTTAAATACAGCAGAGCCGGAAAAAAAATAAAAACAAGTGAATTAATTTTACTGGAGCTTATCCTTAGATTCTACTTAACTCAGTATTTTTATTAATAATAATAAAGATATCTAATCCATGTACCGCTGTAAACTTTGAAGTTATTAGTGACTGATCTGAGGCTGTTGGACATAGACTAAGATGGCTAGGTCACGTGCTGCGCATGCCTAACCATCGCCTCCCCCGACGGGCATTGCTAGCTGATATAGGTTCAGGTTGGAAAAGAGCCAGTGGTGGCCAAACAAAAACATGGCATCAATCCATGAAATCCTTGACAGTTAAACTGAGTCAGGTAGGGAGATGCAGACTCCCGGGTTGGGGCCCTCGGGACTCTAGGAATCAATGGCTGGAGACAATAGGTGACATGGCTCAAAATCGTTGTCAATGGCGCAGATGTATTCAATCTCTGTAATCTTTCATATTCCTTTCTACCATTACCCATTCTGTTTCACTCTTATATTTGTCAAACTCTATTAATTCTCTTCACTCATCTTCTTGTCTACCTCTGTGTGCTATTTGGAAGGTGGCAACTCGAACTGCTGCACTTCGGTGCCAAGTTCTATATTGAATCCAGACAGACAGACAGTTGGACTCAAGGTAATCCTGACTACAAGGCGAACGGTGAGTAGTGGACTAAATGGAGCACTCGTTGCTGCCTTATCTTTCTGTCGGTATGTTTGACCACTGAATAAAAATTGGACATTTAATGTGTGCACATGAATACTAGTCGTTTGATATCCCAAGGATTGGATTCACATATAGTCAGCACACGGTTTCAGTGAAAGGGACATAGAAGCTAAACTGATCCAAGCACTTTCACTTGACTTACAGAATCCACGAATTCTTTTATGGAATACTTTACCAAGGAATTTCTTATCTTCTTCGCATATGCTGCTCTTAATCACCAAAACGTCAAAGGAAACGCGTCCCGCTGTTAACGACTCCAGTTCACATGGTACTGTAAAACTGAGTGCAGAAGCAGTTTCAGCAGTACACTGCCTACACTTGTGCTCATGAACACCTACCAGGATACTGGATGACGTTTCGAACAAAATTTATTGTTCATAATCATATCAATTGTAATCACACGACTTTGAAATTTGAGTTTTATAGTTTTCTTTGTCTTCTTTTTATTTGTCGTCGTAGGGGTAGTAGAATTTTTCGAATACCACGGACAGGTGATGAATCATTCCTATTACATGTATTTGCAGTTGATTCGATAAACAAAGCTTCCGCTATCATCAATCTCTCCCTCCATTCACCCTGTTACGTTAGATTTTAAAACTGTCATCTTATTCTATCCTATTGTATGGTTGTGTGCGATTGCATGTGATGCTATGGCTGAAATATTTTCTACATTTCTTATCTTATTTGGGTAAACCAATCTAGATTCTGCTAGGTTTTTATCTTCGGCTAGTCTGACTGATCCTGTTCTACTACTTTGACCTATGTATTTTACCTGACAATAATTCCAACAGGGTATTAGATAAACCAAATCGTTTTGTTTTAACGGCTCCACAGGATTGATCCTTTAACCGACAAAGCTTGTTTTTAATTGAGTTTGTGGGTTTGAATGCCACTCTTATTCTCGCCTTGTTAAGAATTCTGCGTAAGGCTTCCAAGGTTCTTTCCTTGTATGGAATGACTACTGATGATTTAGATTCTTTATTGTTGGTGTCGCCATTATTATTATTATTATCACCATCGCTACTATCATTATTGATTTTATTTTTATTTTTACATTTCCCAACACATTTCCTGACTAATTTATCAGGGTGTTTATTAAGTTTCAAGGCTTCTTTTATGTGTATCACTTCTTGTCTTAGATTTTCCTTGGTACTACTTAGTTTTTGTGTTCTGTCATTTAAACATTTCACCAATCCTATTTTTACTGACATAGGATGGGATGATCGGAAATCCAAATATCTGTTTGAATGTGTGGGTTTTCTGTAAACACTAGTGTTTAACTTCACATCTTCTTCCCTTTTCACGTTATAATCTAACATTGGAAGTTCCTCTTCCTGACTTTCCAATTCATCATAAGTGAATTGAATTGCCTCTACCTTCGAGTTGATGTGCTCGAAAAATCTATTTATATCTTGTGTTCTAAGTACAGTGAATGTGTCATCTACATACCTCTACTATACTTTTGGGGTGGGGTGAACGTTTCAATCGCTATGCTTTCCCACCTATCCATGAATATATCTCCTACAACCGGGGATATTAGTGATCCCATGGCAACTCCCTCAGTTTCTTTGAATATTTTCCCTTGGAATTTAAATACTGTGGAAGTCAAGCATAGCTGTACTCCCAGCATTATATCCTCAAGTGGCACTTTTGTCGTAAGCTCAAGTTCTTGGTTAGAAATGACCAATGAAACTATGAAACTCTAGTTTCAAAGTCGTGTGATTACAATTGATATGATTATGAACAGCAATAAATTTTGTTGGAAACTTTGTCATCCAGTAAATAATACTGTTTCATTGTGTGATACATCTAATAGACAAACTAATGTGGAATTACTTACTACCACAGTGCCCATGTTTTACACATACCATGTTTTAACCTACCAGCATAGTTATCGAAAAGAGACTGTATGACAGTTGACAACTCAATTATGGTGCAAATTATTACTTTTGGTCATGCAGCATAACGAAGGACTTCATTCGGAGTCATATATTATAAAGCGAAATCAAGGTCTTCAAAAGGTTTTCATTTACATCTTCTTCATGCAGTAAAAGTTCTCACAATCCATAAGGAAAAACCTGAACTTTATATTCACAGACATTTTTATCCAGCCTATTTTATTACCATGGACTAAGTTTCAATTTTATTTCCCTGCAATGTTACATAATGAACTCTATGTAGTCTTTTTATTTTTATCTTTGTGACGCATTTTCAATCTCATCCACTATTTCTAAATGATTATTCATCACTAAACTTATTTGGTTGTAAATTCTGTCGATTGCGTAACATTATTCACTACTTTTGGTACATTGATATTTCATATACACTTTGATTTATTTCTGCTACGAACTGATGATAACCTCTGACCTTTGTTGTCAATATATAAATCCTTAAATAAATGTACAGCTTTGAAGTGAAGTTACGAAAAGACATAGATCTCTATCCTCACTAGTGTGATCCTAGTTACATCAAATTTTAAAATTGTCGAATAATAATATAGAAAACATAAGAAACTGGTAGATTACAAAGAATGAATACATCTGCGCCACTGAGAATGACTTTAAGACATACCACCAACGGTTTCTAGTCATTCACAACTGACTGTCTAGCTGGTTTCAACAGTGAACTTTTCACACATGTGTAGCAGTCCGAGTCGCCACACTCCATGTAGCACATAAAGCCAGAGAAGAAAGTAAAAGGAAACGCAAATTAGAGACAGTAAACAGAGATATGAGTCAAAAAGAATAGTAATATCAAAGAACAATATAGTTTCATTAAAAATTATAAGTCACAAGGAGTGGATGCATCTGCGCCAGCTATTGAGAACGATCACTTTCAGCCAAATCACCAATTGTCTCCAGTCATTGCTGTTTACCATCCCTACGTCTCCAACCGGGAAGTCTACACGTTCCTACGTGCCTAGCTTAAACTAACTGTTGTGGATTTCATTGACTGGTGAGGTCATTCTTTGGTTTGACCGCCGGTAGCTCTTTTCCAGCCTGACCCTATATCAGCTAACATCGCCCGACGAGGAAGGCAATGACTAGACATACGTAACACATGTCTTATCCATCTCAGTCGATGTTACTTCACAGCCTCGTCGACTCATTTCCCCTCTTTAAACTAACTGTTGTAGATTTCATAAACTGACTACATGTTTTGGTTTGACCACCACTAGCTCTTTTCCAAACTGACTTTTTAACAGCTAACATCGGCCGTCGAGGAAAGTGATGGCTAGGCATGTGTAATATATGTCCTCACCATCTCAGTCGATGTAACTCCACAGTCTCACCTGTTGATTTCCCCTCCTTACTTAGCACTCAATGCTCAAGCTCAATATTGCTCACCCTATTATACCACTTCACACGGGAGAAAGAATGCAGACACCTGTGGTCAAAGACAGCTAGCTAGGATTTTCATGTCCTTTACTCTTAATGGCCATGTCTCAAAGCCAAAAAGGAGGATGGAGCGGACTGGTGAGCAGTACACATGCCCTTTGGTCGATAGCCAGCCGGATATCACGTCTACGCCAGAGACGGTGTCAGTTGGCATGTGCGAAATTAGACTTCTGTATCCGTGCTGATATGATGTCAGCGGGTACCAGTTGGTGACGTCTGAGAGAATTATTGGGCTATTGGATTCCGTTCTAGTGGCTGAATGGTCAACGTTCTGGCCTCGTAAGTTGAAGGTCATTTTTTTCTCCTTCACGTTCCCCGGTGGAACATATGGCTTCAAGCTAGTCGCTTGAAGTTTCTGTAGCAGTGTTCATTTTACAGGAGGGGGTTGCTAGCCTCATGCCCAACCTTTCCTCTTCACCAGAATTATTTCTGGATTAGCGAGGTAATGGAGTGCGTCTGTGGTCGGGGTTCGAACCCAGGACCATGTGCATGGTCGGCGAGCGTCCTAACCGCTATGCCATCGACGCAACTTGAAGGTCATACGTGTGTGCTTTTGAAGAGTGTCAAACTATCATTAAACAACTGTCCAGTACTCCTTGATACGCAGTCTTTCCCTAACTGATGCCAGTTCGTCGTCTAAATTTAAATGAATAAAAACCTCGCAAACCAACGCTTGGATGAGAAAATTTACTTTCAGTGATTCCTAACAACTGGTTTCTGAAATTTGACATGAAAATCTACAACAGAATATTACTGTTTAGTATTCTGATCACATCTCAAAGTCTACTGATAGAGTTTTCGTGGCAACTCGAACTGCTGCACTTCGGTGCCAAGTTCTATGTTGAATCCAGACTGATAGAGTTTCATCAGTGTTAAAATTTTGTCAGAAGAATGTTATTTCCATTAACAGTAAATTTTTGTAATCATTACCAACGTTTGTGTGTGTATGGATAGCAGTGACGCCGTATATTGAAATTCTTTAGTTTGTATCATGGTTGAATTTGGGCCCTGAGGTAGAGTTATATTCCAAAACGGAATAATTTTTTCTGATAAAAACAGTATTAAGTCATTACTTACTGATTACATTTCGAGCATAATCCATATTTCTGGTATCTGCATTGTGTACTTCAGACTGCACAAGTTAGGTGTGGATTCAATGAACGACGTCTTAGTGATAAACCTTTCCCTGTGACTACCTAGATTACTTTTTAGAGCTGTAGCTCTACCCCCACTTGCATGTATAGCGATTTCTGAGTATTTTTTCTAATTTGTTCATCTTTTCGGAGTAACCCATTCTACACTAAGCTTAATTCTTGTGTTGAGATAAGTTAACTAACACAGATTTGCTGGTTCGATCTATGTAGTTGACCTCAGTCATTCCATCCATCTAACTTGGGCACTGTGGTAGAGTATAACTCCATTATGGATAAGATTTTATTTAGATAAATCACACAGTGTTACTCAGTAATATTAACTGATGACGTTTCGAGCACAAACTATTGCTCATGATCATATCCAGATTAGTGTTTCCAGGTAACAAAGTGGTTCAAAAAGACAAAAAAGGGAAAAAAGAGTCCCAAACTACGACGAAGTACCCCAAATATTGATCAACCTTATTCAACAGCTGCACGACAACGGAACATTTCAAGTGATCCACAACGGAAACCCACTCAGCGAGGCGTTTGGAGTAAACACAGGAGTCAGACAAGGGTGCTTGCTTATTATCACCAATGAATGATATCCCTAAATGTGGTGAACTGACTGGATTATGCGTCAGACAGTGAGTGGTTAACGAGAAGATAAGGATATCCTGGACCGACCAACGTGAAGAACCTAGAAGACCTGGATTTCGCGTGTGGATGATTTATGTTTGATGTCACACACACAAAATCGAAGACTTACAAGCGAAAACCGACCGATAAACTGGTCGAAGAATCAGCCGGCGAAGACAGGACTCCAGGTGAACATAGACAAGACGGAGGTGATGAAAATAACCAATCCACTAACGGCGACAACAACAACAGCAACATCCAGCGCCAATCACCATCAACTGGAGGGATTTGAAAGAGGTCACTTCATTCAACACTTATCTAGGGAGCATTGTCTCAACTACAGGAAGTCGGAACAGACGAGGATGTCAAATAGAGCGAGAATCGGGAAGGCGAGAAATGCAGAGATTCATCAACCTTAAACCAATCTGGAAATCTTCGTCACTCGGCCAGTATCAACAACAAAATTCGGTCGGATTTTCAATACAAACGTAAAGTCAGTCAGTTCTCCTACACCGATCAGAAACTTGACCAGCGGGTCACAAAGAATATTTCCAACAGCCTGTTGCAGACCTTCATCAACCAACAACTGTCTTCTCTGCCTCTATGCTGAAGATCAGATGGCCGGGCCGGGTTGGAAAGAATCACCAACAAGAAACTGTGGAACAAACAAACAAACAAAACAACAACCAATCGCCAACCAACAAATATGCAGGAGAAAGTGGAGATGGATTGGACACCCGCTGAGGAGACCGCTGGGTGATATCGTGCGCGCGTCAGGTCATTGCTCGAGTGGAACCAGACAGAAAGAGAAGCACGCGGCGAGTGGGACGTCAGAGCAAGGGTGACATGGAGGAGATCGTGTGAGGAGTTGAAACAGTCAGTATGGACTAAGATGGATGCAGGTGAAAAGTACAGCAGGAGGAAGACAGAAGCAAGTGGAGATATGCAGTTGAAGCCCTATATTCCACTAGGAACCCGAGGGAACAATAATAATAATAAAACTAGGACGAAACTGCTGTCCATTACTCCCAGATTTTCTAGTGGTTCGCTAACTGATGTCAGCTTATGATGAAATCCTCCGAATAATCAAATAATATAATAAGTGTTTGAGATCTATCCAGAAATAACGCATGGAGGCATACACGTCATTGTGACGAATTTTAGGTCAAATCCGTCAGTTAATTTTCGACTATCAATTTCGACTGGCACCAGACAACATCCATCGAGTAGTCAAATCGTGGTTACACAAGGCACATATATGTAAACCAGTCAATTGAAAAAAGTATGATAGAACTCACCTATAGCATATAGACAACCTGCGGTTACAGCTAGTCCAACACGTGAACGAGGAACTGACAGGTAAGATATTTCAGTCCATTGGCCATAAAAACCATTGTGATCAGGACCGGTTGTAGGATCGAACATTTCAACACTCTGAAGAAATGAAGAACCATCATACCCACCAGCGACAATAATACGATCACGAAACACTGCTGCACCATGTCTACATCGACGGTGTAACATACTAGCAACAAAATACCAACTAGTATTATGATTCTGTTGAATGGTTGGTGGTGTATGCGCAACAGCAGTAGTAGTAGTACCACATCGAGAAGACGGTGTACGTTTTACAGGGACACTCAAATTTTTGTTGTAACACTCAACTGTTGAGAAGACTGCTAACCCATTATGTCCACCAATGGCGTAAAGACGACCGTCAAGTGCAACAAGACCACCAGCAGATCTTGGTTCATTCATATTTGATATTAACTGCCACCTGAACACATTCAAATAAAACAAAGTAAACTTTATCATCAGTTATTCTGGAATTTCTACAAAGAAAAAGGAAGACTTCACATAGTTCGACAAGAATTTGGCGGCCTGCTTAAATCTTGGGCTACCAAATACCATAAACATTACAAATCATATTGCATCTAATTTCTCATTTCCAATTCATTTTAAATGACTAAATCTTATTCAAATATGACCTCCAATCGGATTATTTATTCTCGCGACTATTTATTATCATTAAAACCTACTGATCTGCAATTCCATAAAAAAGACAAAAAAAGCATCATGCCGGGTGGCAAAGAGCTTTAAAAAATACCCCTATTCAGTTCATGGCTGTTCCCGCAATTATGAGTACCAATTGTCGCTCCCTGCCAGCTAAAATTAACTGTCTTCAATCACTTGTGTCTTCCACTATATATCGTAATACTGGGATCATATCACTTCAAGAAACATGGCTACATGATCTATATGATGACAGTCTAGTATATCAAAATGATTTCAAATTATGCATACAAGATCGGTGTAGTTCCAGGAAGAAACGCGGTGGCGGTGTCGCCATCTCCATCAATTCACAATGGTGTACATCTAATAATGTATGTTTCAAATTCTCTAGTGACAATATTGACTGTCTCACTGTTAAGTGTCGACCTAAACATTTGTCAAAATACAACTACATTTACATCTCAAACATTTATATTACTCCTGGATGCAACTCCACAGAATTATCTTTATTTGTGGATGAATTTACCTCCCTTGCTGCCACCTCCTTCGGAAACTCCTTGTCTATAGTTACTGGAGATTTCAATTCTAGCGATCACAGCTTCCTAATTTCACTTGGACACGATAACATTGTCAACTACCTGACTAGAATGGATAACACTCTTGATCTTGTGTTTACAAATGACACAGGAATATTTGAAGCTCGAAAAAGAGCCCCACTACCTAATTCTGATCACTGTATCATAAGAATACTGCACAAAGTATATGGAAAGCAGCACAAAAGGGTCTTCTCATACTTTGGAAAGAAAACACAACATAGATGTTGTTCCCATGACAACATACTGAATCTAAGGTCCATGTTAAACGACACAAACTGGGACTTATTTATTGAACAAGCTCTTGATAACACAATTACCAACATAACACATTATCTCAATTTCTGTCTTGACGTTTGTTGTCCAAAAGAGACAATCTTCTTGAAATTCGATCGCTTCTCCTCTTCTCAACTCAAAAAGCTTCGCCGTGAAAAAGAAAGGTTGTTCAAAATGAAAAACAAATCTGGTGATAAGAGAATGAACACTTTGATTAAGCTTGAATTACAAAGATTGAATGCTGTCTATGACCAGAAGTTTCTTTCATGTAAATCCCCATCAAATATGTGGAAGTTATAAAAGGAAATCACAGGTGGTAAGCAAATAATGAATGACATTTCCGTAGATGTTGGCATGCTTAGTAAATCCTTCATATGAATTCCTGCAGATGTTATGACTCCTAACTCAGACAGTGTAAATAATGACTGCTTCTCATGTTTTAATACGAATGATGTCCTCAAGTGTCTTCAATCTCTCAAACCCACTCAGTCCCTTGGTCCTGATGGTATTCCTGCTCTTATCCTTAAGAAGTGTGCTGACATCTTATGTTCCCCATTCACTGACATTTTCAAGGAATCGCTTTCCAAAAGTATTATACCTGAATCATGGAAAAATATCAAAATTGTTCCAGCACTCAAATCCACAGGTGGACCTAATGTTAAGTTTAGACCCATCGCTATTACCTCACCTTTTTGAAAGTTATGGAAAGACTTATTTTACTTAAGCTTAACCCTCTTTAAAGCCTTTCAACAACCTCAACCAGTTTGCCTATAAACATAGTAAACATAAACATGTACCTTAGATCCCGCTATTGTCCTACATCATAGTATGGTCTCTAGTTTAGATAAAGGAGCTAAATACGTTCGCTGTGCCTTCCCCGATTATACATCTGCATTTGACTCTGTTCCTAGGTGTCTCTTGCCAAGTAAGCTTGCTGCAACACAGGTTGAGAGCTGGAAAAATAAGTGGTTGCATTCCTATTTTTCTGATAGGAAGCAGTACACCGTCTACAATGGAAAGTCCTCCACTACCTCACTTACTTTAGCTGGTGTTCCTCAAGGTGCTGTTCTTTCTCCTTTTCTGTTTTCTTTTTTCTTACATGACTTGCCTCATTCTGATGTAGCCACTTTTGTTAAGTATGCTGATGACCTCTCGGTTTCTATGCCTGTCAACTATCAGTCAGATTGTTCCAAATTAAATAACTTTCTGTCAGAAATTAGTCGGTGGTCCTCTTAAAACGGTCTTAAGCTCAATCCATCTAAATGTCAGGTAGTCAATTTCACTTTCAGACGTAAACGTGACCTACAACAACTAGTTAGCTCACATGGTCCCACTACCTTTGATGGCATAGAGGTTGAAAATACATCTAATGTCAAGTACCTTGGACTGAGTTTTTCCACCGATCCTTCCTGGTCCTCCCACATCTTACTAGTTACTAGAATGATGTTTCGCTTAACGTTCTACGTTAGAAAGTTAAGGCAGTCAGGTATAAAGCAATCTTTGCTTTCTCAGTTTGTCAATTCTTGTATTCTACCCATCCCTCTTTACTGCTCCCCATTAATCTTTCCTGGACTACTTAAGAAAGACTTTGCCTTGCTGAGAAGGGCACTAAAAGCCGTTAGTAGGGCAAGTGGGATATCGTTAAACCAACTGGTTAACACTGTTGTGGATAGACATATAATAATGTCATGTAAGAAACTAGCGAATACAATATTGTCAGACTCCGAGCATCCTCTCTATACGCAGCTCTCTCTGCTTGCATTTCACCTGGTGGAACTAGAAGCAGCTATAGGAAGCTATATGGTAGGACTAACAAGTACAAAAACTCCCCAATACCATATCTGGCACAGCTGTTATGTGATGAGAAATCCGTTAGGTATGACACGATCAACTTACTGAGGCACTCTAACAAATAGTTCCCATTAGTTTTTGTTTTCCTTTCCTCGTTACTATTACATTGTTGTTCTCATCTTCTATTACACACCAATTTTATATTTCCTATCCTGTGGTGCATTGTTTAAAATGTGAACGCAACACTGTTGTTTTTATTTATTTATTTTTATTTATCTTTTTTTGTGTTGCTTTTTGATTTTAAAATCTTATAAAATTTATGAGGTAATTAGATGCAATACATTGTAATGCACGCTGGAAATTCCATACCTGTACCACAAATACTGTTTGGAATAAAGCTATTATTAATTAAAAAAATTAATTGAATTAAATTATATCCAGTGTTTAGGTTATCTTTTTTTAAGCTCCTAGATACATATTCCACACATCCCGCTACTTTTAAGACTACACTGGTAATGTTAGCGAGTGAAAGGAGTGCCCAGAAAGTATAGTACACCAACCAAGGTACTCTACTCGAATTCACATTATTATTATTATTGTTCCCTCGGGTTCCTAGTGGAATATAGGGCTTCAACTGCATATCTCCACTTGCTTCTGTCTTCCTCCTGCTGTACTTTTCACCTGCATCCATCTTAGTCCATACTGACTGTTTCAACTCCTCACACGATCTCCTCCATGTCACCCTTGCTCTGACGTCCCACTCGCCGCGTGCTTCTCTTTCTGTCTGGTTCCACTCGAGCAATGACCTGACGCGCGCGCGATATCACCCAGTGGTCTCCTCAGCGGGTGTCCAATCCATCTCCACTTTCTCCTGCATATTTGTTGGTTGGCGATTGGTTGTTGTTTGTTTGTTTGTTCCACAGTTTCTTGTTGGTGATTCTTTCCAACCCGGCCCGGCCATCTGATCTTCAGCATAGAGGCAGAGAAGACAGTTGTTGGTTGATGAAGGTCTGCAACAGGCTGTTGGAAATATTCTTTGTGACCCGCTGGTCAAGTTTCTGATCGGTGTAGGAGAACTGACTGACTTGACGCTTGTATTGAATATCCGAAGTTTCAATACAAACTTCAAGTCAGTTCGAAATATATACACAATAACCTTATTTTTTGCTGGAATTGGGGAAGTGAAATGACTAAGGTTGGTGAAAGCCTTCAAGAAGCCAGTCAGCCGATGTGCCTTCTTTCGATGAAAGCAAAAATAAGGATGGGGACGTGGAACTGACATAGTCGGGCAAAAAACTTATGAAGAGTTGTCATCTGAAGTCATAACCGCTAGTGGTGTCAGAGTCAGGGATTCGCCCATTGTCCTTATTTCTTCTTATTTAATTTCATCACAGATGCACAAATGGAAGTGACCTTAACTGACTTTAGCAATTTAGAGATCAACTTGTTACCAGAGAAAAGTCTCATTAACAGATTACATTGTCATCCTAGGTGAGCACGCTGTTAAAATACACAATCTTCCAAAAACCTTGATCAGAAAAATACGCATTTTTCACGTGGTACTTCGTTAGACATTTATTTCAGAAGCAAATTACACCTCTAAGTTCGTCTGACAGTCAACTATCTCAATCTGTGAATACAATTTTGTTTTCCTTCGCGTCCCCAGTGGAACATATGGCTTCAAGCTAGTGGCTTGAAGTTTCTGTAGCAGTGTTTATTTTACAGGATGAGGTTGCTAGCCTCATGCCCAACCTTTGCTCTTTACCAGAATTATTTCTGGCCTAGCGAGGTAATGGAGTGCGTCTGTGGTCGGGGTTCGAACCCAGGACCATGTGCATGGTCGGCGAGCTTCCTAACCGTTATGCCACCGACGCACAATACACCCTTAATTCGTTGACAATTCGCATATGTTATGCAAGTGGTTTAAGTGCATTGTAATCCTAATATGAAGAATATTTAAGTGAATACTAAAATTGAGCTGGTAAAGTTAACACTTGTTTATGGCTTCTATAGCATTATTAACTCAATATAAACTAACAACATCTGTCTTTGAACGTTGATCGGCTAACTGCATTACGGTGTTTCCGAAAACTGAAATGCCTGATCGACTGAAACTGACTTTTCAACGTTGGGACTTTGCAAAAGGTTTACCAGTTCAGGATGTTACACTCTGCACATAAAGGAATCGAAAGAACTATATTGGTGGGAACGTACAAGAGAAGGAATATTTACACGGATAAACATGAGAACTGAATGGATTTGAAAGGTTATACTATACGAATATATCTGCACAGCTTTCACTTTCATCCTTGTCAAGTCATTGGTTCTTATTAGCATCTGTGGCACCCTAACCAGGCAGTTTGCACCACCTTACATGGCTGAAAATAACTATCAAAGACTTCATGGATAGATTCCAGGTTTTGGTCTGACCACCAGTAACTCTCCCAACTTAATCTCATGTCGGCTAAAATAGCCGGTCAAGTGATGTGATGACTGGGGATGCGCTACACGTGTTCTAGACATCTCAGTCGATGCCGCCTCACAACATAACCCATTGGCTTTCCCTCCTCCTTACCTAACAATGCACCTAACCTCAATATTGCACGCTGTATTATACCACCTAACACGGGAGGAAGAACGCAGGCACCTGTGGTCAAAGACAGCTAGCCAGGCTTTTCATGTCTTCCACTCCCAATGGCTAGGTCTCACAGCCATATAGGAGAACAATGTGAAGTGTTTAACAGTACACGTGTCCTTTGATCGGTAGGCCGATATCATGTCTACAACAGAGATGACGTAGGTTCACAAGTGTCACACGACACTTTTGTATTCGTTCTGAGATTTCGTCAGCAATTAGTCCATAAAGGCTGATGCGGTTACCTAAATAAGTGAAGTGGTCAACACGCTTAACCACTTCGCTCTTATCTATCTTTAAACTAAAATTCGTAGCAAACAGACCAGTCCTGCGGCATAATTTTACTTTTGATAGGAGCCAATCACATGTCAAGCATTCAAAGATTTCTGCTCAAGGTTTTCCAGGAGTGATTATTATCGTGTCCATTTTCGTAACCACAAAAAAGAAAACAACTTACATATCTTTTTCTGGGTTATACATTTCACACGTACGTAACGAGGTTTGTCCATTATAACCACCGCATACATACAGATGTCCGTCAAGTGCAGCAGCTCCTGCAGCACTACGTCGACAAATCATTGGTGCTAAGGTTTTCCACTTTTTAGTTTTTGGATCATACACTTCTGTTGTATTCAGTCTTGAAGATCCATCAAAACCTCCAATAGCATACAATAGTCCTGAAGATAAATAACAAGGAAGAGAAAAGAAATGAGTGAACACAAACAGGTTAAATTTCATATGATATACACCCGTTTTATACATATTTACACTCCCTCAAGTTATCTTATGCATCGAACTGTATACCACACTGATTGATTGAAACTAGTAGTTGCATACCCCTCACATGAGCCAGTAGAGCTTACCGACCAGCCAAATCGAAGTGATCTAACCACCGTACGGCCGTTTCGCTCCTTTCGGGGTCAAGCTCATCAGCGGTGTACTCCGTTTAACTCAGTTCAGATGTTAAAAACATTTATTTCTCGATACGAATTTAAAACAAGCAATAAAGGTTAATAAAACAGGATTTAATGAATTCATCAAATTTCGGTAGAACTCGTCAGCTGAATATACGGATATATATACTTTTGAAATTACATTGGGAGATATAAGACTGATAAGTAAACAAACTACATTGAATTAGTCATGCAGAAAGACATGTGCGATTGTTTTCCAGTTCATGTTCAAATAGATAAGGCGAGAGAAAGTATGAGAGATCAAAATTAAGATAAACTGCATAACGCTTCAATTACATCACTTAGGTAAACAAATAGTCATTAGGGAATATAACGGGAATTGCAAACAGACTAATATCAATAGTAATAGTTATAATAATAATAATAATAATAATAGTGTTGAAGTGAGTTAAGATAATCTTACTGATAAAGCATAGTTTTAAATAAATCAAGAATAATAATAATAAGTAGAATAATAGTAATAACAAGTAGAGAATAATAAGTAAAACGTATTACCATGGTAGATTCAGAGTGACGACCATCTCCTTTTGTATACAGAGAGCTGGTTTGTGAATTCGAATTGCACAAGCCTCTGCAATTGCAAGCATCTTCTTGTTTCTTTGTTTGCTGACAATGGTGAATGACTTTTTGTACTGGATTGGAACAAAGCTCTTGAAATGCATGTACTATCCTGTCCATGAAGACTTTCTAAATATAGATCTTTCGATTGTGCCATCATTCATTTTGGCTAGAAAAACGTCTAGGAATTTAATAGTATCGTTTTCCTAGTGTTTTACTGTGAAGTTGAGATTTGGATGGCATGAATTGAATTTTATCAACATGTCCTCCGCTTTTGATCTGCTTTCACAGACAATAAAAATGTCATCAACATATCTTAGGTATACATCCGTTTCTTGTATATGTTGCTGCAAAGTACCGGTTTCTAGGCGTGACAAGAATAATTCGGCGAAAAGTGGTCCCAAAGGGCTTCCCATTGTGATATGTATCCACATATATATATTTATGTGTGTGTGTGCATGTTGGTCTCTCTTTCTGTTTGCTCGGTTAGTCTGTGACCACTTCACTTGTATGGACTTGTCTCCTTTAATAATGTGTATTCTCCTTATATTATATTATATATAATATGAGTGTTTGTTGACAGTCCGTTGCTTGGTGACATATATCCATATATGTTTGTTGGCATGTCTGCTATATTCGCTATGTATAATTGGATCGACACTCCATTATAATTAGCCATTCATGTTAAGACTGTCTAATGATTTTCCCACGCTTGTCTGAATTATTTATATATATTCGCATTCACAATTTGTGTGAACTACTTTACTACTTTACAACTACTTTACTTACTTACCACTTTGGTGTGAGACCATTTATTTTCGTCTCCTTGTGTTTGGACAATAGAAGTATCATCGCAAACCTAGTGGTCTTCTGATTTCCGCCTTCTCGCGTCAGGACTATTAGTTTCTCGACCAGTCCATAACAATAATTTATCGACGAGTACATAACAATTTGGCGACGGGGAAAACTAAGCATAACAATTTGGCGACGGGGAAAACTAAACATAACAATTTGGCGACGGGAAAAACTACTATTAACCACACAGCAGCAGCAACATAACAATTCACTATGGATTATTCTAAATTGGAATTATTGTTTGAACAACAATTGAAATTAATGGAAATGTTCGTCAACCAACAGACTGGTCCAGCTTCACCTTCAAGCAATCCCAATCATACCATGCTACCATCTGTCGACGGCATTGTGAACAGTATTTCACAGTTCAATTATGACCCAGAGGCTAATGTCACTTTTGACACATGGTATCAACGTTACGAGGATTTATTTACTGTTGATCTCGCCTCACAAGACGATGTCTGGAAGGTGCGAGTTTTGCTACGTAAATTGGGTCCCGCAGAATATGAACGGTACTGCAACCTAATTTTACCACAGAAACCACGTGACAATTGTTTCGATGATACAATAAAGCTGCTGCGTGAACATTTTGGAGACCACTCCTCATTATTCAGTATACGTTATCGTTGCCTCAAGCTGGCAATGAATGAAAATGATGATTTTCTTACTCACGTTGGCACAGTCAACCGAGAATGTGAGAGATTTCGACTCAGGTCCTTAACAGATGATCAATTCAAAGCCTTGATTCTCATATGCAGTCTTCAATCTCCTCGTTTCACAGATATCCGAACTCGACTGCTCAATCAGCTAGAACAAAATCCCAAGTTAACATTACATGACATAGCTGATGAATATCAACGGCTGATTAATCTGCAGAAAGACACACACTTGGTCGAATCAACACCTCCGAGAAGCTCTGATATTCGTGCATTACGCAAGAGCAAAAATCTCTCATCATCTACTCCTGACCCACCTACTTCTCTAATGTTCCGCGGAAATCTACACATACTCGTCCAACTTCACAAAATACTGCAAAGAAGACCCCACCATCACCATGCTGGCATTGTGGCGCGTGGCACTTTGTAAAGTCTTGCCCATACAAAAATCATCGTTGCAGCAAGTGCAAGATCATCGGTCACAAAAATGGTTTTTGTCAGCCACGCAAGCCCAGATATCATAATCCAGCAAAAGCTCAACAAAATGTCGGTCCTAAATCTCCAAAAAGATCACTGAGTCTACGTGCAATCTGTCAAGTCACAACACCAGCTATGCGGAAATATATTGACCTTCAGATGAATGGTCATGATACTCGTCTGCAGCTAGATACTGCCTCTGATATTACTGTTATATCAGAGAAACTTTGGAATGATATAGGCAGACCACCTATCACCAATACTTCCCAGTCTCTTGTCAGTGCCTGTGGTGGGCGGCTCAAACTAATTGGTGAACTCAAATGTTCTGTTTCCTTCCGCAATACCAAATTCACAGGAATTTGTTACGTCACGAAGAATGATTTAAATGTTTTGGGACTTGATTGGTTCTATCGTTTGCATCTGGCTGATGTCCCACTAAATTCTCTACGCAATACAGTCAAGAAGCATAAAATGCTAGACAATTCCGGACGGAGCCGAAGCCGCAAACCCAACAATCAGACGAAACGACAGGCGTCAACAACAAGCCCAAAGGTCCCAGATAAACCCCCAGGTAAACATCCTACTAATCATTCATCTTCTCAAAAGGGGAGGTGATATGTATCCACATATATATATTTATGTGTGTGTGTGCATGTTGGTCTCTCTTTCTGTTTGCTCGGTTAGTCTGTGACCACTTCACTTGTATGGACTTGTCTCCTTTAATAATGTGTATTCTCCTTATATTATATTATATATAATATGAGTGTTTGTTGACAGTCCGTTGCTTGGTGACATATATCCATATATGTTTGTTGGCATGTCTGCTATATTCGCTATGTATAATTGGATCGACACTCCATTATAATTAGCCATTCATGTTAAGACTGTCTAATGATTTTCCCACGCTTGTCTGAATTATTTATATATATTCGCATTCACAATTTGTGTGAACTACTTTACTACTTTACAACTACTTTACTTACTTACCACTTTGGTGTGAGACCATTTATTTTCGTCTCCTTGTGTTTGGACAATAGAAGTATCATCGCAAACCTAGTGGTCTTCTGATTTCCGCCTTCTCGCGTCAGGACTATTAGTTTCTCGACCAGTCCATAACAATAATTTATCGACGAGTACATAACAATTTGGCGACGGGGAAAACTAAACATAACACATTGAGACACCATCAACTTGGCGGAACAGACGCCCGTTGAACTGGAATTAGACATTTTTAGTACATAAAAGTAGTAACTTCCTCAATTCCGATGTTGGAATGGGTATGTCTTCAACTTCTTTACATATGAAGTCGATAGTCTCAACGACTGGCACATTTGTGAAAAGGGAGGTAACATCGAAAGAGACCAAATGCTTATCGGAAACATTGAAATCTTTAATTTGATTGACAAATTGAAACGAATCAGAGACTATATGTGTTCCGAAACGTTTCAGCAAGGGCTGCAACAGTTCACATAACCACTGTGCTAATCTGTGGTATGGTGAGGTTATCATAGAGAGTATGGGTCTTAACGGTGCGCCTGGTTTGTGTATTTTTACGCGTCCGTATAATTTTGGGATTTGTGACCCAATCGGTTTGATATTTCTATATGTGTTTTCGTCGATTTATTTTTGAAGAGTTGTCGTAGATGCTGCACAATTTTCCTTTCGGTTGATAACGTTTGGTCTTTTGCATGGTTATCCAATTTGAATTTAGATTCATCAGAGAGAATTTGATGCATTTTTTCGAGATGATCTATCTTGTTCATTCGCACGTGTCTTTCTGCATGAATAATTCAATGTAGTTTGTTTACTTATCAGTCTTATATCTCCCAATGTAATTTCAAAAGTATATATATCCGTATATTCAGCTGACGAGTTCTACCAAAATTTGATCAATTCAGATGGCCTAATCACGGGTGATTCAGACCGGTTCAGTTTTCCAAGCAGAGTCAAATCGGGTAAACCGCTGGTGAGCTCAGCCCCATCGAGTGAAACTGTTGTTCGCTGGTTAGATCACTTAGATATGGCTAGCAAGTACTGCTACGTCATGCGCATGGTATCCAATTACACATCTCAATCAATCAGTAATGTATAGTTCTATGCAAATAAGCTTGCTTTCTTAACTACCATTTATAGTATAAAGCGAACCACTTATTGTGA